GCATACGAGGGACGTGTTTCGAAGGGGGCTATAAGAGACCCCCGTGGTCGGAGTGCTGAGCTCGCGGGCCATTCGATCGTGGTGTTAAGCTGCAGCGCCAGTGGGCCTGTAGCGCGTATTTGTAGGTTGTCGGGATAGTGAAGTAGAAAGAATCGTAGGGAGCCCGGGTATGGCGAACCGGGTAAGGAGGTCTCAAGGCGCTGTGTTATCGGTATTCCGTAGGGTAAAAGTAGGGTGTATATATATATATATAATTCATTATCCTGATTTGGCGCCTTGAGGCCCATGCAGGTTTTTTATCGGAAGATATGTACTTTAAGTAGGATGACTCAATTTGGCGATTGGAACACTCACACTCAGATTTAATTTGAAGATACCACTCGAGGTTAACCCTTACGGCGTATAACCTCTTCCGTGCATACCCACCACAGGGAAAAGCGTGAAAAACCTGTGGCTATCCGAGTGTGCTTTCATCATCCCATAAGTACAATATCACCGCAAGAGAGAGTGGTGTGTGGGTCTGACTGGATTCGAACCAGCTCTCTCCTGTCTCGAATGGGATAGGTGTTCAAGCTACCCAGTATCTAATGGGGAGAACGGCCCGGATGGTGTACCACTGCACCGTCTAACCCACCAGTAGGATATAGGTGTGGAGTATAGTGATTATTCCTATGAGAAGGAGGTATAAAATCAGCGTAAGGTATAGGGTTCATGGAAAAGATGAACATAAAGTGAGTAACAGGTGGGCTTGGTACAATAACGGCGGTCTTATTTAGAGAGGAAATAAGTATGTGAATAATATGTATCAGTACAAACAGAATGTGTGTGTGTGTGTGTTTTATTGTACTACTTGAGTCTATGACTATCTAGCACATTGGGCTCCTCTCTGACCCAGACCACACCTTGTACAGTGCTCCTATCCTCTTTTGTTACTTGAAAGATCATTGATATATTCCCCTTGATGAGTAGCTATTCAGCTCAGTATTTACACGTGTAATTCGACCACCTTTTCCACGGAACCTTCTACTCAAAAAAAATGATAGCAATGGAAACTGCGTGCGCGGGAAAAAGTCTCAAAAAACCTGCAGCCCCAGCCAGCCGAGGCCTAGGCACCGGGACCACATGAGGTGCGCATATTCATCTATATCTCCCTTCTTTGTAACAGTCGAGGTCGACTTGATCCAATCCACCATCTCCGTATCGGGTGCTGGGTACGCTCCGGAAACTCATCGGATGGCTTTTCCTCCACGATCAAGGGTGGGTGACGAGTAGGGCTCCGACCCTACCATCTGATCTGATCGTGGTTAGCTTCATGATAGGGGTGATAGGGGAATGTGTTGAGAGATGAAGACGATACAGACCGCGAAAGCGATTGGGAATCCTCGTCGAAGTGAGGACTTTGTTACTCGATTTCGGCTCTGCAGACTCTACAGTGAGAGCTGGAGGTTCGTAGGGGACACCACTGACAGGTGTTGAGAATAGTCCCCCTCAGTACAAACAGAAGACGTTGCGTAAAGAAGAACACTCCTTCACGCTGGTTATATATGTACATCAGATGATAGGATAGCCCTAAGCTCTGTCTCGATCAGTGTTATCGCGCAATTCCTATGAAATGAGCTTATGTTCCTGAGTCTGTCCTAAATGTTTAGGTACTCGATCTAACACCGAGTTGTGTTTTGGCGTGGAACTCCCCATGAGACACCATCCTAGCTTCCACTACGTTTATTTATGAAAAGATATGCTGAGTGCTTCGCAGTTGAAGGAGCCTACCGCATAAGCGGGTGCATATTTTGACGTCGAATCTTATGATCACTAAAAATCGGGTGAAGGCGACTGGCTTGTCAAGTAGTCTCTAGAGGTAGTCTATTCCCACTTCTTTATCGTGGGAGGAGATTGTGGTCGGACCGGCCACAGGGCAGACTTCTCTTGGCATTGCGACAGCGAACTAAGTGATTGGGCATCTTAGGCTGTCGGTAACCTAGAGATTAGTATTTCAATTTTACGTATTCTCCACATCTCTCTTATCATTTTCTGCGTGAGTTGTCACAGGATTTGAGCTTAGATATTTTCTCGGAGATTAATTCATTTTATTGTCCTGTCTGAGTCTATGACTATGTAGGACATGCAGGTCCTCTCTGCCTGCAGGCCGAGGATACCTATGCCTCCCATATGGCTCCCCTCAAACAGTACCACCCCTCACAAGTCCTCATTCGATCATACACTTAGAGGAGCCCTTAGCCCTTGATTATCTCCCCTCTCCAGCCAACGAAACGATGACCATTTGCGGGTGTATGGCAGCCGGGAAACCCCGCCAAAACCACTGGCTGCGGAGCTCTCCTAATACCGACATTAGGACTAAATCCGAAGACACAGTGATCCTTCTGATGCGTTCGAAGAGGCCGGCCAGCTGGGCGCTGCAGACTTGTGGATACCTCGGGAAATTCGCTCTCTGCCTTTCTAGCCTCCTTCCAACTCCTTCCCGAAGGTCGTGCTGAAATGTCAGAAAAGTCTTGACAGAGCGTGATTGCTGTATGGTAGCTTGGCCCAACTTATTTTGTACTGTCCAGGGCGCTGGGGAGTGCCGTTGACTCATCGACAAAAGAAGCCTTCCTGGCTAATTAGCCGAAATCTTGGTCTTAGCGCCCACAAAAAATCCAAAGTTGAAAACTCCTCGAAAATGTCAGTCCCAGCATGGTCTTCAGAGACCTCTTTCCACTCTCGCTCCACATCTCAGCCGCTTGTTCTTCCTCAAGATGTATAACCCCATTAGAGCAGCAGTCCCTCATAAACCAAGACCCCAACTTTGTATTTTTCGACTTGATTTCCTCCTTGCGGGTATACGTAGCGTCGTAACTTTGTAGTGAGTGATGGCCGGTGATGAATGAGGCAAGCTCCTGTTTGCAATTGGGGTGACGTCTTTATCGGTCGGCGAGGCGAGTTGATATGTGGTTAGATCGGGGTTGAGGACTCAGAAGATAATGATGAGTGCTGCATAATTGAGAAGTCGTCAAATGGAGATATGCTTGTGTTTGCTTTCGACTTCGATTCGGATGCGATTCTTCTTGGCTATCCCAGATATGCAGAGCATACTGAGCGATTACACCGGCACCACTGGAAGGTGAAGAATTCGTCTTTGCCGGCTGTTTTCTCAGAGAGGAAGGGAAGAAAAATGATTGATGGTCCTCACTTCCATGATGTCACTTCTGTTCAACTACAAGTTGAGTAGTCTTCTTTGAATCGGTTTCCTCAGTCCACGGGTTGAGTGGTGCAGTGGTACCATTTGGGCCGTTTTCCCAACTAGACTCTGGGTAGCTTGAACTGTTGGAAATATTGCGCAATATAATGGGCGCAATATTCATGGAACGAAAGTAGAAGTTGACTAAAAGAGTGTCATGTTCGGATTATAGCTAAAAGCATGGAAGATGTGCGCTACAAGTACAAGTGTAAGCGACACAGAGCCTAAGCCACAGCATAAACGAGTGTGGTGCCATCTAGGTATGGAAACCCCCCAATAATCTCCTTGCGCCCACGCCATACAGCCGCTCATGTATCCAACAGGTAGCCTGAAGCGCTACCATATTACCTATTCCAACCTCTTACATACACACAATATCGTGTCGGGAACCTAGACGAAATGGAGGGCCCATACGTCCACAACACTCCATGTCTCCATTTCCAACATGAACACCCACGACACTCTCTCGCCAGGATATCGTATTAGTGGCATCATGTAAGTACACTAGGATAACCGCAGGTTATTTACGCTTTTCTTTGGCTTGGTTTATTCATGAACGTGCTAGGTAAAGTGACTACCGTTGCACTCCTACTGGAGCTTAAGCACGGGTGGGGCCGGGTTGGATCAGGTTGACTACCATTAAGTACATCTATCTCGTCCCACCTGAATGACCGGACCACCTCAGACTTCACCTACGTTTTGGATCATGTCAAGCTCAACTGACCAGAGAATCCTCTTTTGACGCGTCGAAGCACAAATTCATCCTCAGCCTCGGCCACCACGCGTCCGGGCCCTAGACATCTTCGCGATCTGTAACTTTTACCTTCCATTCAGTCCAAGCTTTGGCTCAAAAGCTCGTGAACTGGCAAGGCAGATGTTGACAGACTGGTGGCACTCGAATCGCCCCAAACAGTACGCTGACCTTGAACTCGAGATGCGGCGCAAGAAATCACCAGAACTAGCGCTACCGAGAGCGGTTTACGCCCGCTTAATCGCTGCTCGAACTGGACATGGAGACTTTGCGGCATATCATCGCCGCTTCAACCACACTGACGCTACACTTAACTGCGAGTGTGGGAGGGAAAAATCAATTGGTCACCTTGTCCAGTGTCGAAAAGAACTGGCAACATGGCGGCTGAAAAGAGGTAAGCGTAGGGCGCCGGCTCTGGAAACAATGCTTGGATCAAGGGGATGGCAGCTGTTCAGGGACAACGTCCAGGAGAGCGGAATTTACGCGGAGGCTAGTCGAGGGATGGCAGGGATACCTGTGACTCGGAGGTGATAGATCAAAGGCCTAGGTGGTATGGCATGGATAGAGAGATTGGGATCGAGGCTCAGGCGCGTGGTGGCTGAAGCGGAACGATGGAAGGGAGATTGTTGAAGTTTTTCTTTTGTAATGCGGGATTTCGCGAGAAAGTTTTTGTTTAGTTTTCAATTCTGGGCTATTGAATTCGTCATGATTCAACACATAGATGCATTTTGGCATGGTTCCGGTCATTTAGGTGGGACGAGACATTTGTACTGTACGGTAGTTAACCTGATCCGGCCCGACCTCACTCGTGCTCAAGCTCTGAGGTTTCTTGTGCACGTTAGTAAGAATAAAATGATAAGTGTCGACTGTGAAATTCACGGATGTATCGTGGCTCCGACTACGACAATCTATATGTGTGTAGAGCTTGAGACTAGGTGTGAACTTGTATTTCTATTAACATTCTAACTCCTCCTTAAATACATGAAATCCTCCATACTCCAGATAATGTAACGATCAATGATACATGACTTGTAAACTATCAGAATACAGTAGGGGAGGGGTGAGGTGCTTTGCCGCCCGAATTGTGACCAAAGAGTGCGATGGGTGCATTCTTGATGGAACCTCAAACTCGGCGGCTCGCCTAGGATCGGGACTTCGGTGGCTCGCTTGCCGTGAGACTTGGCGTTTCGCTCGGATTTGGAATTCAGGATCCACAGCTCCAGTAGGAGTGCGACGGTAGTTACTTCACCTAGCACGTTAATGAACAAACAAACGCACCATTCGAGAAATTCGAAAATTCGAAAATTCCCTGTTTCACTTTTTCCATTCCTATGACCACTTCTGTGCTTGACTTCTCGAATTGTTAACCGTCGCGAGGTATTTAAAATGCCTCCGGTGAGAAAAAATCGCCCAAAGCCGACAACTTCAGCCGGCTTTGAACGGACACCATTGTGTCCAAAACCTACTGGCCTCGCGCAAAAATTATCAAGCCTGTTTGCGAGTGAGGCCTTTGTCCCAGGGAAGTCCACAAATCTTCCCGATCAAGAGATGACTGATTCTGAACCGATCAGAGCAGAAAACAATGGTCCCAAGACCAAAACCCCCGTCGAACTGCCCCCTTTGGCAAGCAGCTCCAGGAAAGGAAAGGAAGTTGTTCGAGAAAAGACAACCGAACGTGCAGAATCATCTGCAGGAAACAATGCTGTGCCAGCCTCTAAAGGCGCAGCATCTACATCAGCAATGGAATTTCCACCAGAGCTGCAAACCGTGATGGAGGCCGAAAAGCGACGTACGACGCAAATTACGGCCCGCCTCGCCATCTGCTCGACTGCAATAAACAGTGTTGAAGCAGCACTTTCGCCTCTTTCGATCGGCGAAAATTAAGAATTTGTAGACGGAATCAAAGTCTATCTTCGAGCAGCCATCGGCCAGTTCGTACAATCTGGCCCAGGGAGCACACCACCAGTTCTCCCTGCTCGCCCCGCTAACCCTCTTCCGCCGAGGGCACCAGAAATAAGGGTTCCTAACCCTCTAACAACCCAGGCTCCGGCCCCAAAGACAACTTGGGCCACCGTAGCTCGGGTAGGTCTAGCCCGCAGCGCTGGGCCATTGACAAAAAAGGCAGCACCACCCGCCCCCAAAGCAAAGAGTGCCAACTCGAGGACAAAAGCCGATTCACGACTTTTTCTGCGCCTTGACTACTTCCATCCCCACCGTCTCCTTTCTCCAGCTGGAGTAAGGCTAGAGGTGTCTCAGGCGCTGGGAACCGCTGCCAACAATATCACGTTGGTTCAGCGGGTAAAGACCGGCTTTGCAATAACCGCAAAGGATGAACTCGCTCGAACAGAGCTCCTAGATTCCTCCACATCACGGAGCGAATCTGGAATCAAACTGGAACCAGCATCAAATCTGGTTGCCATGCAAATTGCCACCGTCCCGGAGACAATTCGAACTCTTGCTGGCCCAATCGCCGTGACGGCAAAGATGGTTGCCGACGAAGTCACGCGAGTGACCCAGTTGGTTCCCTTTCTGGTTCGTCCTCATGGGACTAGCAAACCAGGGGCGCCCTACTCAAATTGGCAAGCGCTTTTTCCACGAGAATCCGCTTCTCGACCTGGATTCCGCCTTTTCGACGACTCTGGAGCTGCAAAGCTCTTCCGACCTCGTCGCAAAATTGAACAATGCAAACGGTGTCTTGAATTTCACGCCACCCGTGGTTGTTCCCGCGCTCCAGCTTGCTGGAAATGCGGATCTAATATGCACTCAGAATCAGAGTGCAAGGCCCTCAACCGGTGTCGAAACTGTGGGGGACCTCACCGATCGGATTCCCGGGCCTGCTTAGCCAGACCCAGTAAGTCCGGATCGGTGACAAAACAGAAGCTCTTGCGGATCCGCCAGATCCAGCAAGGGGAGTTCGGGAAAGTGGCACGATTTAGGGCTGCAGCCAAAAGGGCCGATAAGGCAACAATGGCCTTAACGAAGGATGTCTCGATGGCCGAGGGATCGGACTTCGGAATCCTGGGATCCGAAGAAGTCTGAGGGTACAGCAACCCTCGGTGAAGTCTACAAAAAGCTTCAATATATATAGCAGGATACCAGCTGAATTCAGGGTATCTGCGAACTAGTCTTTCGCTCTCAGCGGAGATAAGAAAAAGTCACCTGGAAGATATGGCAGGAAATGGAACGGGCGAGAAGCGCGGGATCCGGACCAAACAGTATTTCTTCCAAATTTGATTTATGTTTTTGATTTTAGTTTTGCTGTTAAATTCTACAATTTCAGTAGAAGTTCATGCGGTTGGAATGAGTTGGGCCTGTACGCAGTGATCCTTGCCGGCTCCACCGGTCCTTGACTCCTAGGAGATATAGAGCATAGCTTAGGACCTAAAATTTATATAAAAAAAAAAAAAAAAAACAAACAAGCTTTGGCTCATCTCAGCAGCTCCTCAGCTCATCCGGGTGATGTTTTCTTCACAGGAGGCCTCATCCAGTCGCCCACCAAGGCTTACTCAGTTGGGCGCTTTTCCTTGGGTGGGTATGCACGGAAGAGGTTATACGTCGTAAGGGTTAACTTTCACAGATTGAACAATCATGATGAGTTATGGATATTAAAGATGAAGATGCATTGTCTTCGGATTTCAGATTCGAGTCAAGTAACATCCTGACGTCATTTAATAGATCGCAGATGACATCCTCGAGTTGGGGAGAGTATGATATGACAGGAAGTATGACATCATGGAAATCATGATATTATGGAAAGTATGATGGGTAGTTGGATGGAATTAGGTTTATAAGAAAGTTTAGCATTAAGATATTCAGACCTCTTGCAACGTCTTCTGAAAATAAATACATCTTTAATTCTACACCTCTTCTCTTCCTTGGAAGACCATTGCACTGCATAACTTCCTGTGGCTCTTCTACTCCTCACAGTGAAGCTTCGCCTCAGATTTTGTCGTTTGATCTCTATTCCACTGACTATCCCATTTCGTACCCTGTAGAAATATCGCCATATCAAACACCTTGAGATTAACCTCGATTGGTATCTGCAAATAAAATCTGAGTGTGAGTGTTCTAAATGTCACATTGAGTAATCCTACTGAAAGTACATATCTTCCGATAAAACCTGCATCGTCCTCAAGGCGCCATATCAGGATAAATGAGTTATTTATTTCTTTATTCCGTAGTCCAGACCACGTGTTCTCATCTTGTCTTACAGCGTGTGCCATATAATTTGAAATACAAGGCAAAAACATTATGAGCGTTAATATCGCAAACAGGGAATTGTAGGCGCAACCAATCAAAGTGCAAAATTCCAGACTACTATCTACATGCAAACATTTTTATTATGATTGTAGGGTGTTGGAATTACTACGGTGTGGTTTCACGAACGATCGTAATATTCACTAAGGAGTTGTGCAGTTCTGTGTTGGTTTTAAAAATCATAATTGCCTTGTCTACGCTATACAGGTTTCACAGCTTTACTGTGGATTCTGACTAGCGCATCTGTACTGAAGTCATCATGTGATCCCCACATGATGACAAATCAAATTTTACGTTTTAGATAAACAGACACAGGGAGATTTTAATAGATACATTGTATAGCGCACGGTTGATTCCGTATGCTTCCTTATCAGCCTTATTCTGCCTCATATGCTGATCTCGATTAGCTCGACAGTCGTTGTGGCGAAATGATATGTAATTGGAAAGAGGCTAAGGACTCAGAGAAGAATGGTAAGTGCTATATGATTGAAAAGTTTTCAAACTAAGTGAGGCATGTGTTTGCTTTCGATTTAGATTCAGTTATAATTCTTCTTGGGAAGCTTATATAGACCGAGCTAGCCAAGACGGCACTGAAGTGTAACTAGCTACAGTGCCTCTGGGTTGGAAAAGGTAAAACTTCAAACTGGGTTATTGAAGGGATCAGCCCTGTAGGCACAGCTGAGCTAGCTCGTAATAGGTTAGTATGGCTCTCCTCCTTACCCCGCTCGCCATGAAGTATGGTCCAATCGTCTTCTTCTAACAATCGCTTAGAAAAACACACTTTGAACAATACTTGTAGCTGCCTAACCCACACAGTCCTCTAGATTTAACATCACTATCAATTGATCCTCTATTCTAGCAAAAAATGTCTCTCGAAAAGTCTGCTTCAGAAACTAAAGTTCGCAAGCATCTAGCTCGCGATCAATGTATTGAAATAAGAGCATTAAGAAGACTCGGCTTGACACTACAACATATATCCGACGAACTTGGCATCACTGTAAGGCAAGTGCAACTGGCGTGTGCTCGAGAGACTGAGAATCCTATGCCTCGCAAAGGACCCTTACTTAAATTAAGCGCGGAACAAGTCGATGAGCTTGAGGCTCTCGTCCGGGAATCTCCTGAAAATTGACAGATGTGCTATTTGGAACTAACTAAGGGGCCCCTCAGCCACTGGGGATGCAGCGAACGTTTAGTTTCTAATGCACTCAAAAAAAGAGGTTACAGCAGATGCATTGCTCTGAAGAAGCCTCCGTTAAGCGCAGTGAACAAGCAGAAAAGATTGGAGCTCGTCCAATTACATTTAGATCGGAGCGATGAACAATGGAGTCGCATATTATGGACTGATGAAACCTGGGTATCGGGTGATAGTCATATGAAACCTCGTGTCACAAGAAAGGAACGTTTAAATTCTATCTAAATCTTCCTTGTGCTAACAGCAGTGATTAGCCTGATAATGAGTTTGATGAGACAGGTATTGTGGCTCGCCATACTCATGGGAACAGCTGGATGTTTTGGGGATCATTTTACGGATCATAAAAATGCCCAATCCTAGTCTGGGAGAAGGATTGGGGATCAATGAGGTCCTCATCCTTTTGTGAAGGGATTTTGCCACTTTTGAATCAATTTCACTCGGATAATCCAGAAATTCTATACATGTACGACAACGCACCATTTCACAAAGCGCACTCAACAATTGAGGCGCTGCGTGAAGTTGGAATAACGCCTATATGATGGCCACTTTACTCTCCGGACCTGAACCCGATCGAGTCATTGTGGAATATCTTAAAAACCACATTCAGGCAAAGAGTCCTGAGATAAGTGGGGTCAGGTTTGTGCGCTCTGTCACGTTGAAGACATTGCTGCAGGATGCATGGGACTCTATACCTTCAGAGGAGCTATTGTCACTAATTTGCAGCATGCACGAAAGATGTGAAGCAGGGATAAAGGCAAATGGAGGGTACACAAAGTGTTAGGATTGAGAAGAAACACAAAACATATAGTACGCTTTCATTTTGTTGCGAGCCATACTGAGGGCTTCGATGTAGACTTTTGTAATACAGAGCAATAATTTTTGAAATAGATGTGCATTTTTAGAGAATATCAATTGACTTTTTTCAAATTTGAATTTCAACTGAGGACCATTGTACTTTCCCCATGGAGTCCAAAACCATCCCCATAATTTAGACTTTCATGGAATGTCATTGGATAGTACCCCTTGCTTGCATAACTAGTGGATAGACTAGACATGGGCCTACATGAAGATCATACCAATTAAGGCAATATGTACAGGGATCTTACCCCAGTCATTTTGACAATTCACCTTTGCCATCCATAAGAGACTGTACGTAATTTAGATATGTAATTAGAACTTGTACAGCAATGTTCCTGACTACACGCGTCATAGATAGAAAAACAATAGACTACTTGCGACCTCCGAGGTCTGCGAAACCTGGATTATTTGTGGCACCTTTCGATTCGGTTGTGAGCTGACGCGACTTTAAACCAGGGACCAAGGAACCATAATTAATTGGGTATTCTATCTATCAGAACAAGAATTATTACACAATTACAAATTTGAGATCAAGCCGGCAAAGACGAATTCTTTCCCTTCCAGCGGTGTCAGTGTAATCGCTCTGTATGCTCTGCATATCTTGTAAATCCAAATAGAATCGCATCCGAATCGAAGTCGAAAGCAACCTCGAGCATATCTAAAATCGACGACTTCTCGACAAATGTTGGACCTATCATTCTCACGCGAGTCCTCTACCTCAATCTTCCTACACCACCTCGCCTTAACGTCTAATAAAATCGTTACTCCAATTGCAATCGGGCATGTGCCTCATCAAAAACTGGCCATCTCCCACTACAAATTTACGATGCTATGTATATCCGCGAGTAGGAAATTAAGTCATAATCTACAAAACTCGGGTCTTGGTCTATGGGGGACTGTTGCTCTGATGGGGCTTCATATCTTGAGGACAGGCAGCTGGGGCGTGGGACGAACGGGTGAAGAGGTCACAAATGGGCATACTGGCTCGCACATTTTCGAGTGTTTTCGACTTAAGGGTGTTTGTGGGCGCCAAGGCAACGATTTAGGATAGTGTTACCGACACTCTAAAAACTGGCAACAACGTAAGGTGTTTTGGTCCGCCTCCTGGTCGCCATCTCCCCGATTTAAGGTCTGTGTAGCCTGTACATCTACCTCACTCTAGAAAGGGAGGACTACAAGGCCACATCACGCGCGGCGGCTATACACAAGATGGCAAAGGCATGTTAGGGTAGCCAAAAGTTTTTCCTGTATTCCCTACGGTGGATATTGATGGTTGAGGGAAGGGTGAAAGTCCCTAGCACACAGGTCTCAAGTGGTATTAGCGAACGCACCCGCGCCCATTTTATTTTGGACTAGAAGAGGAAAAGAAGCTTTACTAAAATATTTGGATACTTCCAAGTGCATGGTAGCAAATACAGGAAATTAAATTAGAAATTAAAAAATAAGTATTTCTTGACTGGCTTAAGAACGAAGCTCTTGGGGATGAAATTATTTATTACAAATTTGTCATAGCTATACAGTAGTTTATACAATGAATCAAAAAAAAAGAATGCACTCACTAAATGAGTGGTCCAAATGATTAACTAAGATGCCGTCGTATACGGTCGATGGAGAAGGACTGGCCTTTACCTTTCCGTGCTCCATTGGTCCTAAGCTTGTGTCCGTCACGAATAAATATTTATTCATTCATAAATGGACCTTGAAGCTCGCTAACAACCATCCCCCCTGAATTCCGTGTAATCGTTTCACCTGTGGGTTGCAAAGTGGCATTAGATCTACCTGTAATAGACAAGGATATAAAGAACTCTCATTCTCTGATGGAGTGGCCTGCGTAGTGAGTGATGCATAACTCGGCAAGCGAAAGTTATTTTTTCTCAGGCTAATAGATTGACTTTGTCTGCGAGGCACTAACTGGCAGCGATAACAAACACCTTGTTGTGGAAACTCTAGTCGCGCATGTATCTTTTTAAGTTAGAAATGGATAACTGATGTCCAAGATTTTTTGCTATGTATGATATAAACTCAACATCTTCATTACTTCAAGCACCCCTGTCTCTCACTCTAAACAGGAGTCTTGGTGCATACTTTCTCAACGCCCCTTCCCCAACTTCCATTTCTGATCGTGCCCCCTGCCCTTTTCGCCCCCCATCAAGGGTGATGTCAACACGAGCACAATTTGACTTGACCGCATTTCTTCTGCATCGATCTAGCGGCGTGAATTACAGGCCGCGACCTAAATTCTGGCTATCAGCCTCTTCATTTGCGGAATCAAGCAACAGTCAGGGAGTTACCATCGCAAATTTGCAATCGACGCCTGCAGCTTCGCATTTACAAAGTATGGTTTCCCCGAGAAGTCCTCAAAGCTTAAAGCAACTAGTGTGATAACGCATGGCAGGTGACCCTGTCATTTCAGTCCCCACTACATGATAATTTACATGCCGCCACCCCCAACCTATCCGTCGCTGTTCTTTCTAGCCCGAGTCGAGATTACGGACTGAGCACGATCGTCTTCATTTGAAGGGTGCGTCATGCAAGCTCAGTCTGTGCTATGGAAGGAGATCAGAGACGCATCGGCTTTTCCATCACCCAAGTGGACCGTTAACAAAGACGTCAATGAATACGCTAGGCGTCGACTCGATGGAGACATTGATGATGCAATATTGGTTGTGTGGTTCTGGTCGACCCAATTGAGGAGCCATGTGGAATTTGCTTATCCACAGTTGTGTTTCTTTTGCCCTTAGTTAGTTCAGACATGGCTCTATCCTTTTTTCTTAATCGCCTCCTAGGATTTTTGCTAGCCACAACTCCAGTCCCGGAGTATCCACTAGTTGGCACTTCACTAATCAACTAGTCAATCTTTTTCAGATACCCTTCTCATCGCGATTCTCAATCTTCACAAACCATGATTGAGGTGTAGATGTTGCTATCGACAATAAATCAAGTTTCTACCTCCAGCTAAGTAAAATGGCTACTTTTTTTCCTCACGAAACATCAACCGCTATTGCACCCACCTCTCGTACTATTCTATCAGTTTACCGCCATGCTTTTTCTCAGAAAGTTGCAGAAGGCAGTCTCCGGCCTCTTGTACTTCCATACCACATAATAGGTCTACTAGCTCTAATCGCTTACCACTGTATACCACACAGGAAAAACCCTGTCATCTACGCTGCCCGATGGCCTCTGTTAATTTTCGTGAACTGGTTTCAAGGGCAGATTTTATGGAATGTGTCAAGTTCGAGTTTTGCTACCGGATACATGGCGGGAATGATTTCTGCCTGGATAATCGTGCAATCATGGACTTGGCTAATATTCATGAGACCGCAATGGGATGCCAAGAGAGTACAAAGAGTGAAGATAGACCGTTCGAAAATCCCATCATCCGAAGATTCAAACACTAATCAATCATACAACGAAAAAAGTGAACTGAGGCAGCGAAAAACTTCAGGCGGCCAAGCTCTTGTGCGTGAAGAGAGCCAGCAGCCCAGAAATTGCAATGGAAAAAATGAAAAATACCGATATTACTGGCAACCATATCCCGACAACCTAAGTGAGCGTATTCCGTGGGTTGTCGACTTAATCCTAAACTTTAGAGGCCCTGGTTGGAATTGGGCTATATCGCCTCTCCCATCCCTCCCACCAAAGGTTCTGGCCAAGTTGGGTGACCCTATACCTACTGAAGCTCATTCAAATATGTCACCGACCGGGCTCAAGCGATTTAACACACGCCGCGAATTATTGCGGTCTCGAGGAACGAGATTTTTCTTGAGCTACTTTCTATTAGACGGCCTCAAAGTGTTGATGATGAAAGATCCATATTACAAGTTTGGCCCCACTAGTTATGAGCTTCCTTGGTACTTGAAATCATTGTCACCTTTTACTTTAAATATGTATCGCAAGTGCCTAAGCTCTGGGACAATCATCGCTTCCCTTACAGTAACCTTCTATCTAGCTCCTGTTGTCATGTCCCTTCTCTGTGGACCAAAAATATTTGGACTTCGTGCTAAGTCGTGGTATTATCCCTCTGCATGGGGAGGGTTTTTTAATATTTACCACAAAGGTCTGAATGGTACTTGGGGCAACTACTGGCATCAAATGTTTCGTCTAAGCTTTACGGCACCCTCGAATTATTTGACCCAGAACGGATATGTTAGGGCACGCTCGCCAATGGCAATGATTCTTGCACTTGTTTTTGCATTTGGTATCTCAGGATTTTTGCATTCAGCAGGAAGTGTTACTATTTTCATACAATCACGTCCTCTTGACTTAATGGTATTCTTCATTCTCCAAGGTCTGGGAATCGTAGTTCAAGGTGTCCTCTACGCTCTTTTTCGATCATACCTCACAAAACTCCCAAAAAGTGTAAGATATACTGGAAATTTCTTCTATTCGATGACTTGTCTCTTCTCTACTGGCCAGTTTCTCGCAGATGACTTTGCTCGCGGAGGCTTGTGGCTGTGGGAACCGATACCCTTCAGTCCACTTCGTGGCCTTGGACTTGGAGAATCCGATGCGGGCTGGTGGTGTTGGGAACACATCGGTATCGGATGGTATACAGGAAAATACTGGTGGGAAAGTGGGATTGCTCTATAGGGCTGTGCAAGATTACAAATTAATTTCAACACGTTCTGCATCAAACAATAATCTTGCAACTTGAAGGCGATGGAAACATGGGACTGTGAACGGAAGACCTACGGACTCCTCGTTGGGGAACGACAGAAAATGGAGTAACAGAACAAGTCAACGAGTACCTTATCGTAACTCTACTAAAATTGAGTGGGTCTCGATTCAACCTACCGATATATAGAGTGGTGCCCAAGTGCAATGTCGCTTACTCATGGAATAGTAAAAATTCGTGCCTCCCATTCAAAATCACAATCATATATTTCTCATCAAATTTCGGGTCTAAATTATAATAGTTTATTGTTTGCTTACATTGTCGATTTGTTAAGAACCGAATGAGGTAGGTTTCTGGGATGGAACTCTATAAATTTAAGGGTAAATTAGGAGGGTAAATTAGGTTGGTAACTACGCTACTACTAAACAGTGAGGGTCAAACATTGGAATCTAGGTTTATTTAAGAGAAATGTAGATATTAACATTGGATTTGAGGTCCCCAGTCTGACCCAAGGTTTCTCTTACTTAAATCCAGAATAATTTTGACAGCATCACCTTTTAGAGAGCTACCAGCTCAAAATTAGCTAGAATCACTCGTAAATTTACAGTCGCTGTATTCGGAGCGCTATCTCTATAACCATCCGGCGACGCTCCAGGTCAGAAAGACAAAGAAAACTACTTTCTCAATCACATGATTTTTACTCAGACATAAAGTTGTGGCACAGGGTCACTTTATTGTATGTAGATTGGACTTCCGACTTCAGAAACTCTCCCACCATGGGTTCCATTTGCAAATAACAAGGTAAGCTTCCAAACAATGAGGAAAGTGATTTTGTTTAAACAATCGAGTACCCAGACTTTTTTGGTTCTACTGGCAAACGATTTGGTACTTCCCAACGATGATGGATATCTATATTGATTGGATTAATCTGAGCTTCAAAATATAGACCAGAGATTGTAAATTTTGCTCATTTTTGTTCTGGATATAATTTTCGAGTCTCCAAATTTTCATATGTCCTATAATTGGGGCTCTGAATCTGTCTTGGGCTCACCCCTACATTTTAATGAACATCCACCTTTTCTCCCATGCGAATTTTGTAGATTAGATTAGATTTTATGATAGTCCTGTCTAAGTCTATGACTATGGAGGACTTCTAGGATCTACCTGAAAGAAATAAGCTAATTTAGATTATTTAAACATGATAAACTGAATTCTTGCAGACAGTGAGGAGTTTTGTAGATTAAATAATATCATAAATCCAAGAAGAAAAACACCATTTTTGCCAGAAAGCTGCGCAGCGTTCCACACTGCCCGTAACATCAATTTGACATCGTGATCATTATTTTTACATCTTTATTACCCTCCTACCATCTTTTCGCTTTCCGTGCCCAACATGGCGAGTGTGGGTGCTGGTGTGGGTAAATCCAGCGATTTCGACGCGTCGCAAAATACGACAACGGCAGCGGAGCGCAGGTAGCTCCAAAGGATCCCAACTTGAAAATAATAGGGAAGCTATCAAAAAAGGTCAGACTAATTGTGATGGGAGAGATGGAGGAGGACCTACCAACGATGGAAGACGTAAATGAAGCCGTCAAGTCATTCAATTATCACAAGAAGGCTTGGAAAACGATGTCCCAGATCCCATCTTCGATCGAGGAGAGGATGATAGCGTTGGAGGAGGTGGTAAAGAAAAGTATCGCGGACGCCGCACGACGAGTAGCTCCTGTTGTGTCGTCAGGGAAGCCGCTACAAATGACCTACGCGTCGGTCGTAGCTCCGCAAATGGCAAAAACGGCGGTCAGAATAGGAATCGACGGCACACAAAACTTGCAGCCACAAGAGCTGTTAACAAAGGCACAACGACACATTCAAGGCGCATACGCGATTCGCCAAATGCGAAGCAAGGAAACTGAGGTGTTCGTCCAGTCGGCGTCCCAGAGAGACGCGACGCTCAACATGCGCCAACCTAACGAATTTAAGATTCTACGGCAAGATTTTCCCGTCGAGGTTTCTGATGTTCCTTTGCGGACTCGAATTGAAGGTGGCAGAGATGCCGAAAACCACGCTATCATCAGGGAGATTGAGATAGAATCTAAGGTTCGAATTCCTGGTCTGGTGATTAATCGAATCAAGTGGCTACATGATGGAAAGGAGCACCAGCGATCGAAGAAAAACGGTCGCAATCGAGGATCAATTGTGATCAGCCTCCCATCAGAGGCATTGCAAATGGAGGTTGTTTCACAGGGCCTTGTAATTAACGCCATGCTCATCACCGCGCAGGTGTGGTCATCACGAGCCCAGCCAAAGCAGTGTTACAACTGCAGCCAGTGGAGACACACACAAGCGTCGTGTGGAAAGGTAGCCAGGTGCAGTGAGTGCGCAGGTGCTCACCAAACTCGGGACTGTCCGAGGAAAAGGGTTTCTTGTGCGAACTGCGGCAAGGAGCACCGTTCGTGGCAGAAAGCAGCGTGTTGGACCTACCAGGTCTACAAGAGAAGTGTGGAGAAGGCTCGCATGGAGCTGTTATCGAGAACGGCAGATATTTGGAACGAAAAACCTACCTTGGCGCCAATGCGAACAGTCAGAACGACTGATGATCAGGGTTCACTTTGGTCACCAGTAAAAAGGCTGAAGGATTTGAAAGAAGGCTGGGACGACCACGCAAGGTAGTCGAAGCCCCAGCGGCACTAACCATCCCGACGACAGCAGCACCATCGGGGCCAACTCTTCGAACACTTCGAAGACCAACGTCGAGTGAGGAGGTGCCTTCTCTTTTTAATTTCTCATAACGTTAGTCTGATTGAAGGGGGAGTTACCGAATTCTGGGGAAAGTTTATAAAATTATGGTTGAAAGGAATGTCCTCAGCATTAAGCCGGGTCGGTTCAGAGGGGCAGGACATCGGGTTTTGTTTGTTGAAAGCTTTTTCCCGCACCAAAGCGGCTTACTATCTTCATGGTTCTGTTTATAGATACCGCATAGGACTTTAAACGAGACTAATTCAATTTAATTCAATTCAATATCATAAATTGTTGGAAACTAGTTCTAGTTCCTGTGGGCCAAGTACGTTGTAGAGTTATTATCTTGATGACTCATCTAATACTATGAACCACACATTTGCAATGTTCTTTGATAACGATAAGCACAATACTAACTTCGCCTTGAACTTTGGTTTTGCGTTAAATTAACCCCACGTGTACGTATTTAAGGCCAATCGAGAAAAGTTCTCAGAGACAAGAATTATATTTAGCGACACTTTGGCGTAATTAAAATATGCCAACATTACGAGAAGACGAGGGGGACTATTCTCATCACTTATCAGTGGCGTACCCTGCGAACCTCAAGTTCTCACTGTAGAGCCGAGATTGAGTAATGGGTCCTCACTTCGATGAGGATTCTCAATCGCCCTCGCTCTCTGTATCGTCTTCATCTCTCAATACATCCCCATTTCACCATGATCATGGAGCTAGTCACGATCAGATCAGATGGTAGGGTCGGAGCCCTACTCCTCACCAACCCTTGATCGTGGAGGAAAAGCCATCCGATGAGTTTCTGGAGCTTACCCAGCACCCGATACGGAGATGGTGGATTGGATCAAGTCGACCTCGACTGTTACAAAGAAGGGAGATATAGATGAATATGCGCACCTCATGTGGTCCCGGTGTCTAGGCCTCGCCTGGCTGGGGCTGCAGGTTTTTTGAGACTTTTTCCGCACACGCAGTTTCCATTGCTATCATTTTTTTTGAGTAGAAGGTTCCGTGGAAAAGGTGGTCGAATTACACGTGTAAATACTGAGCTGAATAACTACTCATCAAGGGCAATATATCAATGATCTTACAAGCAACAGAAGAGGCAAGGAGTACTGTACAAGGTGTGGCCTGGGTCAGAGAGGAGCCCAATGTGCTAGATAGTCTATGACTCGAGTACTATAATGAACATACCTCCCTCAGACATGTATAGTATGATGAGGTTTTACACAAGTAGAGGTGGAATGTAAATGAACCTTCTTTGCTAACTAGTCCAGTCATTTGTATTTGGCGTCGTAGGCTCAGACTAGATATATCCGGTGCATCATCGCAGCTTTAACAATCAGTAGGCTAAAAACAAGTGCACATCTTGGGATTAGCCTACTCTGAAAATAGTATTACATAGTCTGCAAAATGCATACATCACACATCATGTGCCAAGAAGCTACTCAGATCAAACTGCATCGATAATTCTAAACACATTGCGCAGGAGACCTGCTATTTTTGGGCAATTTTTTGTGTGTTCGTAAACTACCCATTATAATCAATATGAATAGATCGCAAACAAGGTGTACAGTGTCAATTTGTGGTCAAAAATCACTGATATTTGCCTGGGTTGTCAACTTTTGTGAAAGGAGTTTCCAATGAAATATCAATTAGTTATATTTGATTTTATTATCCTTATTTGGCACCCTATGGGCCCATCCAGGTGTCTTTGAACTGTAATATTTACATGGGAGGAAACCTTCTGGTGAAAAACCCCCGAAGCTTCCTGTTCGAATGAATGATTATTTATTCGTGACGGGTACAAGCCTAGCACTCAAAGAGCTTGACACAGGGAAGGCAAGTCCTTCCCCGATGACTGTATACGACAATAACTCAGCTTGACATTTGGACTACTCATGTAGTGCGTGCGTTCGCTAATACCACTCGAGACCTGTGTGCTAGGGGCTTTCACCCTTCTCTCAACCGTCAATATCCACCAAAGGGAATACAGGAAAAACCTTTGGCTACCCTAACATGCCTTTGTCATCTTGAATATAGCCACCGCGCGGGATATGGCCTCACATTTTTCCATTTTTTGGGTGAGGTAGATGTTCAGACTACCCAGACTTTAATTCTGGGAGATGACGACCAGGAGGCGGACCAGAACACCTTTGTTTGACTTAGTTATGGTATCGTATGATGACGAAGATGACAATTGTTTTCTAAGTCTTGTTAAAGATATAAC